ACAACAGTAACACAAAATCTTTGCTATTTTTCTGAACATGAGAAAGCGCTGTACATAAAAAACTGTATAACCATTCCCTTTTACCCCACACACTTAAGGTGATTACTTTAGTATTATGAGGAAATGTTGGTGTCTGCCCAAACTTGGAGCACCTCTGACACATGTACAGCAATCTCTGAACTGCACCCAGACACCCCTTGCAGCAAAGTGACTCGGGTGCCTCCAGCTGTGCTCAGTTTCCCACAGGCAGCTGCAGTCACCTCTGAGTGCTACCAGTCCAGCTCCACTCACTGCTGCTCTTGGCATCCCTTGGTTTAACTAACAGGGAAACAAAATCCTGGACTAAGCACTCTTAGTATGAGACAAGGCAATTCCAGTGACACTTTGTGGGAAGCTGATCAGAGGTAGGAGCAGCCTGCAAGTAACTCCAGCATTTTCAAGCAAGGTTCAAGACCTTCCCCAAAAGAGCTAGCCCCACAGGTGCTCAGAGGGAGCACTCCTGCCTCACCAGGCAGCACAGAAATACCCAAACCTGAGTTTTCATAACACCCAAGAACACAAGAGCATTAATTGGCTGTTTTTCCCAGAAGCAAGAAATAGATATCCAAATCAGCTGAACGGAAATCATTATGGTCACACAACAGAAGTGGTGGACTATGTAAGTACTCCCCACGGAGCTCACAGTCACCTTGTTGAGGTGAGTCCACGTGGAGCTGTGAGTCCCTGAGTGAAAAAAGAACAGAAATGAAAAGCACAAGACTCACCGAGCCACGACCACGCTGTGTTGCAGCAGTGCTGGAGCCTCCTGTCCATCTCAGGCACTCCCAGCCATGGCTGCTGGGCAGCACAGGAGCCAGGCTGGCCCTAGGTGAGCCCTCCTCAGCCAGGGCAGGAATTTCACTGGATCCACAGAAAATGAGGCAGGACTGATTCAAAATCACCTGCACTGTACAAAATCCTCTCTCTGCAAAGCCCATGGGGACCATCTATAATTACTGAGGGCTCAGGTTTTAGCCCTCACAAAGGCTCCTTCATGGCAGGTGCGTGTTTCATCCTCCAGAGCCTCATACCGGAGTGATTCGCCCCTGCTCTGCAGTCTGCTGGTAATTGTTATTCAGCTGGAGTTTGTTTCCTTTAAATATGAGATGCGAGCATCCTGCCAGGCTGCTCAGTCCCTCCATGCTCTGTTCTGTGCTCCCCATGGTGTGAGGGGAGCGGTGGCCATGGTGTCCCCAGGCCCGGTGTCCCTGAAGTGCGGTGGCGTTGCCGAGGCCATGGCTCCCTCAGGGATGGACAGTCCCTTCTGAGGAAACTCACTGAGCCCTGAACACAGGGGGTGCTTCTGCTTCTGCCAGAGACAGGATTTCACAGCTATCAGCATCAGGGAAAACATGAAATAAATATCCGGAACAGAGCACCTGTTGCTCGGAGCCCACAGTATGCACAGGCCGGCTTATCTGAGGGGAGGACAAACTCACCCAAAATGGTTTCTTGCATTAAAGCTCCTTCAGGAGGGGTGTGGATTCTGACAGGGGTGACCTGTGCCCTGCCAAGAGCCCTCAGAAGATGTGTCCTTGTCTCGCTCTGGTGGGCCCTGAAGGTGCTCCTGGGGCTGAGGGGCCCCCACAGAGCAGCTCGGGCAGGGTGAGCTCTGCCCTGATGCAGCCACAGGGGCCTCGCTCTGAGGGGTGAGCAGACAAGGCAGCAGAGTCACTTCACAGGTGGTAAAGCATCACAGTTGAGATGGCCACAATACCCAGAGCATCCCCACACAATTTTAGAAGGCTTCAACCCATACAGAGAACCACCATACCACTTCAGAAAGCTCCAAGCATCTGCCCTTCTTGTCCTTCAGCCCACCCTTTTATACCCTCCTGTTAATGCATTGCACCTGTGTGCCCTCTGCTCCCTTTGTGATTGGTCAGTGCCCCTGGGCACTCCATGGCTCGTTGCTGCCAATGCTGCTCACCTGCTGCTCACAGCTGTGCCCATCCCAATGACCCCAAACTGTGTGCCACACACAGCCCCATCCCAATGCCCACAAACTGTGTCACACACGGGCCCATCCCAATGCCCACAAACTGTGCACCACACACGGCCCCATCCCAATGACCCCAAACTGTGTGCCATACACAGCCCAATGACCCCAAACTGTGTGCCACACGGCCCCATCCCAATGACCCCAAACTGTGTGCCACACACAGCACCATCCCAGTGCCCACAAACTGGGTGCCTCAGTTAAGTCCTGCAGAAAGGGGATCTGGAGCCCTGAGTGACCCTGGGCCAGCTCCAGCCCCTGTGACCCATCACTGTCAGGGCACATGGAGCCCTTCCCCTTCAGCAGCATCCCAGGCCCATCTACCCCACAGCAGCTCAGGAAGGAAGTGAAAGTTGTCTCTGGGCACAGAGAGGCTTCTCCTGAACTGCAGAAATAACAAATAGACCTGAAATGTCCCCAGACCTTGATAACAACATTGTCAGAGGTTTTTGCCACTTCTCCTTTGATTGTGACTCTCCTTGTACTTGATATTTTCACTCTATCCCCACCTCCCTGAAACACTGTTAGAAATTTATTTTTAACCAAAGTCCATGTCTAGTCTTGTGACTGTGACGCAACATTTGGAAGTGTGGTCTGTGTCTCTGAAAAACCCAGGATAAACCCTGCAGTGCTCTCATGTGCACATATTGCTGTGTCTGTCTGCACCTTTTCCTTCTGCTGGGGGTAAAGCTGAGGGTGTGCACAGAAAAATGGGCACTTAAATGTATCAAAGCCAAAAGGGAAACAGGGTTTAAATAATCAACCATCATACATATTATATATAAATACAAAGCATTCACACAGAATTACAGAATATTCATATACATTTGCATTATCATTCTGTTAGGCTTTTAATCCCGCAGTTTAAAAGAGGTCTCTGAAATCTAATGTACAGATTTGGGAGAATCTATCAATCTCAGATGGCAGGGCTGTAATTAAGAATGGCTGAGAGAAGCATATGAGCAGAAGGTCAGGTGGACTTTCATTTGCAGAGGAGCTCTCCAAGTAAGGCATTCTTCCCTGATTTATGTTACAAAATGCACTTTGTCTGTTTCAAACAAAACCTAGCTGGACTTGTGTAATTTCTGAGACATGCAGGGAGGAGTCCAAGGGTAGCAGGAATTTAAAATACATGTTTAAAGCCTTTAGTTTCAGCATCATTCCTGTTTCAGTTGGGATTATTGCAACTTCTGCTGCTGGAGTATCTGACCCAGAGGTCAGGAGAAAAGCCTTAGGTCATAGAAAGCATTAGGAAAGGAGAGTGAGAGTTAGGTGTAGGTGTTTCTGCACAAGAGCTCATCTGTCTCAGTTTTCTGTTGGTGTGAATTTGGTGCAGTTGTTATGATACTTCCTGTTGCCAAAGATGAGAGTTTTTCCAGAGAATTTAATTAAAAAAGGGTGAGGAGTTGTTGGTATGATAACATATGACCACAGAGTTGATGTGGAAGGTACATTGGGTGGGGCTCACAAAACAAGGAAAAATTAGAATTAGGTGATTTTACTGGGGGTTTTTTTTTGCAGTGTGTTAACAATTACTTCATTTTTCCATATTTGATAAATCACAGATCCTGCTACAGCATGACTTTATAATTATTCATTTATTTACCCAGCAGAGGAACAACTGCAGCAGTTTGCAGTGTGGTCCCTGCTCTGAGTATTTCTTTGTGTCTGTAACTTCATCTCTGGCTTGTCAACATCTGCTGGGAGCAGAGGATGAGAATCCTCAGCGCTGCCAGAACGCAGGCTGGGAAGCATCGGGAGCTCTTTCCGATCTGCTGCCTGCATTGTGACATGAAAACCCTCAAATGCAGACTCTGTGTGTGTGTCTGTGTCTGTGTGTGTGTCTGTGTGTGTCTGTGTGTGTCTGTGTGTATGTGTGTGTGTATGTGTGTGTGTATATGTGTATATGTGTGTGTCTGTGTGTGTGTCTGTGTGTCTGTGTGTATGTGTGTGTGTATGTGTGTGTGTATATGTGTATATGTGTGTGTCTGTGTGTGTGTCTGTGTGTGTCTGTGTGTATGTGTGTGTGTATATGTGTATATGTGTGTGTGTGTGTGTGTCTGTGTGTCTGTGTGTGTCTGTGTGTATGTGTGTGTGTATGTGTGTGTGTATATGTGTATATGTGTGTGTCTGTGTGTGTGTCTGTGTGTGTCTGTGTGTATGTGTGTGTGTATATGTGTATATGTGTGTGTGTGTGTGTATGTGTGTGTGTCTGTGTGTCTGTCCGTGTGTCTGTGTGTGTGTCCCCCCCAGGGGAGGGCTCCCATTACCTGAGATCCTCTGCAGATCTCCCGGTGCCTCCTCGTGGGGGAGGCTCATTTAGTATGCGCAGTAAAATCGCTGTGGCACCGATCATCTGATTGGGAGAGTCAATCCTGAGGCAGCCCTACTGAAAAGGGGAGGTGGAACCAAGACGCTCCGTGCAGACAGCCGGGCTGTGAGCAGCACACGAATTGCACTCAGCAGGCAGAGCAGAGCTGGGGCACCGGGGCTGCTGCCTGAAAATCACAGGGAAGCTTCATTTCTGCCCAGGCTGCCCCTGTCAGGATGCGCTGCCGCTGTGATAGAGAGAAGGAAATGCGCTGCTGTGTGTGATTAGAAGGTGAAGGCAGTGATAGAGGCAGAAGATCTCTATGAAACTCCTTTGATAACCACCTTGAGAGTGAATTTTACCTCTGGAGTGCTGGTTCCAGCTGGCTGTCTGGAAAGTGTCATGAAAAGGATGCAGGTTCCGAGGAAGCGTTTCACTGACAGCAGAGCAAACTAGAGGAGAACTTTTACCTGCATTCCTGGCATTAAGGAAAAATAATATAAGAAAGAATTCTCTGCCAGGATTCCTTTTTTTTTCCTTCTTCGCGAGTCCTGGAGAGAGATTTTGTACACACCAACCAGAAGTCAGAATTCTACAGACTTTCCAAAGAACAGGCATGGTACAAAATGTGATTTTGGTGTTTTTCCGCAGGCGACTCAGCCAAAGACCCGCTGTTGAGGAGCTAGAAAGAAGGAATATACTGAAACGTGAGTACTTCTTTTTCCTAAAGTATTTTATAGATGTCTGTTGAAATTAGTGATTGCATTTCCAGAACATATTATTTTGAAATAGATAAATTTATTCACTGGGATCATTTTCTGTACCTAAAAGTTTTAATTTTTCTCAAAGACCTGCAATTTGAGGACAAAAAGAACCGCTCAGGTTCAAGCTTTCAAATAATTTTCATTCTGATTCCACTGTTACTGGTGTCTGAGAGGGGAATACAATCTGAGTGTCACAGTGCCATGAGAATTGGAGTGACATTTTTCAAGGCATGGATTTTCAGGGCACACACTGAATAGCACTGTCAGTGGAGTGGCTGGGGGAAGATCCTTGCAGAGATGTGATTCTGTCCAGCTCTGTTTGCTCATGTCATTGGAGATCTACCAAGTCAAAGATCAGATACCAGAGATAGCAGAATTATTAGAGGGACAATCCCAGGCCTGGGACAGGTGCTGCCACAGGGGAGTGTTCTCAGCATCTCTCAAATTCAGGCAAAACTTGCAGTTCTTTTCCGAAGTGTTTCCAAGGGATCAAACAAGTGATGAACATAATCCCTTCCCTTAAAACTGCTGAATTAGGGGAAGGTGAGAGTCAGCTTTGAAATTGTCTCCACTATGGATCTCAAAAGGGGAAATCCATTTGCTATTTAGTCTCTTTAATGTTGAGAGACAAAACCCAGAATGATGTGAACGATAGGTTGTCATTAAACAAGCATAAAACACAAAGCCACAGAAATCTGTCACACAAGCAGTGCTGCCCACTCTGTTAGATTTGTATTTAATAATCAGATTGTAATTCACTAGGAAAAAGTCATCAGCACTGCATTACCTAAAATTCTGTATCTCAAAAACTTTCTCAGTGATTTCTAGGGAAAAACCTTATGCTCCTGCCACTGAAGTTATTTGGGATTTCATTTCAGTTTCACACAAAGGGGTTCCACAGGCAGCCTGTATTTGCAGTGTTTTCCGTGCAGTTCCAATGCACAGATCACACACACTAAAATGAGCTCTGTTTTGCATATGCACAGCTTCAGGAGGAAAGGAAACCCTCTTTGCAACATGGGTGGGTGAACTTGTCCAAACTTCACCTGTCATCTACCAGAGAGGCAGGAAAATGCAGTAACCCAAGATTCTGAACTGTGTGGAGACAGATTTTCAAGAGTCAGTAACTAAAATCTCTGAAAATCTGTTTCTTTGGGTTTTTTTCCTGGCTAAGGAAAAGCTGATCTTCACTGAAAAAATCTGTTCCTTTATGTTTACTTTTTTGAAGTGTGCTGGTTACATCCTTAATCTGGGTTAAACTGACCAGTTTTAATAATAAAAAAGTTTGAATACATTCATATAATGAGCTTAGAGAGAGATAAAGCAGAAAGAAGATAAAGCAGAATTAAAGATACTTCCTGAATACCAGCTAAACATACTGGTCTAGATTTGTATCTCATTTAAAGAGCTCCCAGCATGGAGCAAATTTATTGACTTCTGTTGAGTTGCTCAGGCTTTATACAGGTTCAGCTGGAATCAGAACCACTTCCATTTTATTTACCTGTGCCATTATAATAAAAGCTGAGTATCCTGCATAGCTGTAGCAGTATAAAAGCCCTTCAGTGAAATCCCCACGACCTCTTCCAGGTGTAATAACGGTTTGTGCAATTTTGTGCATTTCCCACCATCTTTGATGTTCATGATTGGTACTGCTGACAGAAGTTCTTTTATGGACTCAGAATTCACATTTGTACAACTCTGGTAAAAAAAGAGAAGCATATTGCAAAGTACAACTACTGTCACTTTAAAGCAAATCTCAGCAAGATTTCAAACAGTGATTTCTTATCTCCTTTAGGGAGTTTCTAAGATAAAAGTAATACTTAAAGAGCAGACTTAAAGCCAGCACTTTCTTACAATTTTGTTGATTTTCCAAGTCCTTTAACCACAGAAACTCTGCTGGCTTCCCACCAAGCATGAAAAGCAAATGAACTAAAATCACAGCCCAGGTGTCAGATGTGTCCTTGCTGAACAGAAAGCTGAACTCAAGCCAAGAAGGCGTCTCTTGAACCCCACTGTGAGGTCCCTGTGAACCCAAGGAGATGCTTTAGTGTCACACAGAGCTCAGAATGAGTTCCAGCTCTGCACAGGCCCCCTCAGCACTGGGAGTGTCTCTGCTGAGATTTACAGAACCAGCCCTCAGCAATGAATGGAGCTGTGTGGGCAGAGGATGGTGATGGGAAAAGCCTCTCTGGGCTGGCTGAGTAATAATCCTGAGTTTTAGAATCCCTTTGCCAGCATTTCATACCAAATCTCAGGTTATTTGGGTTTTTTTGTTTGTAAAAGAACTATTTCTTTTATTTCTTGAAGCTGGAAATAAGCACTGAACCCAAGTGAATAGAAATAAGTAACTACACATTTATATTTGGAAAAGTATTTTTTGATCAGAAAGGTGTATTTTTGGCTTTGCTTTGGGAATTAGAATCATAGAATCACAGAAGGGTTTGGGTTGGAAGGGACCTTAAAAATCCTCTTGTTCCAGCCTCTGCCATGGGCAGGGACCCTTTCCACTGGACCAATCTCCCTCTAAGGCTTCCAGGGATGGAGCAGCCACAGCTTCTCTGGGCACTTCTTTCACTGCATATGACATCATATCTTTAAAAGGCACTACACCACAGAAAATTATCTATTTTTAATTTTTTAAAAAATACAAAATAGGAATATCTACTGTAAAATGGGTGAATTAAACCTGAATGAATAGCTTCTTGCAGATGTCTCTAGATCTAAGAATACCCTCTACTTTTGAAAGCCTGTTCTCCTTTTTACACTCCTTTCAGTTGCAGACTGAAATAGCTGCTCATCCCTGACACAGCACTAATTTTAGCTGACCTGTTCTCTTTACATTTTGTGCCTTGCCACTGAACTATAATGCAGCACATTATAGCATCTTAAATTCATTTGATTCACATTTCTAGCCTAGCCAGGTGGAGCTGTGCACTTGTATGTTATTTTAAATAGATTTGATTGCATCTCAGTGTCATCTAATGAGCGCAAAAATCAGGGAGAAAAATGTTTCATTGTTAAAAATATCTTGGAAATCCAACTGCAGTGCTAGTGGGTTTTGGAGGCATAGTAGAAATCACGTGTGTGCTTTAACACTGGAAATATCTAATGCAAGAGGTACAATAAACCTCAGAGTAGTACCCAGAGAATCCCTGAATGGTTAAACCTTTTTCTCTGGCTCTGCAGCTTTGTTCAGGTCACGGGCTCACGCCTTAATTTAGTAACAGCGAGTACTGGGAATAGAAACGCCATTAACTCCTTTCCTAAGGCAGGGGATCTATTTCTCACTGTTACAGCACTCCGGGCTATTTTTAGAGCCAGTGTGTAGGAGTTCTCACGGCTGGAATGTTAATAGGCACAACACACAAAGGCAGGGGCTGAGCTCAGAGCTGTGCACAGGAGCCTGGCAGGAGGAAGGGGTCTCATGTCAGGGACAGCCAAGGTGCCAGCCAGTGCCAGGGGTGATGCAGCCTGAGGGACAGGGCTGAGGGCAGAACGGGCTCTCCCTGAGCTGCTGCACTGACTCCTGAGCCTCTGACAGCATGAATGGCTCCAGCAGTATGGGGAGTAAAAAAGGATGATTGATCAGCTATGGAGTGTGTTGATTTTCCTTCTGAAGTTGATCCGAGTGCAGCGTTGGTGTGGCTGTTTCATTAAATCCCCGTGGAGTTCAGAGCTGGCACTGGCACCAGCACGGTGTCCTCACAGGGAGGTGACTCTGTGCTCCAGCTCACACCAGAGATGCACTGAATTTCCAAAACACACAACTGCCAGCTGCTCGTTGGGCTCTGCTCATCATTGCCTGGGACCTGGGAAAGCACCAAACTTCCTCATGAGGAAAGTCATCTTCTTTTTTATATTCTCCGCAGAACGAAATGATCAAACGGAACAGGAGGAGAGGAGGGAAATCAAGCAGAGACTGACAAGAAAGGTAAAATCTTGCAATGCTTGCTATTAGCTTTTAGAAATTTAGCAAAATTACTATAATATCACCCAGCCATAGAGGTTGTTATTACGCAGAACCTCCCTTAATATGCATCCTCCTGAGCAGTGTCTGGTAGCAGTGTCTGGTAATATCAATTATAGACATACCTACCTTATCCCAGCTAGATGGAATTGAATAGAATATTTGCATATAAATTTACTCAGAAAATGGCTATTATGGCACATTTGTCAGCTCCATTGCTGGTAAAGGACTTTTTCAGTCTTTGTAGCAGAGCTGCCTCCTTGCTGAACACCAGGTCTGCTCCCATAGTACATTTCTTTTTGCATTTAAAATATTCTCAGCATAAGAACGAGATCTTGTTGTTCTGTTCTTGGAAATCCCTAATGGAATTACTGATATATGTAATGTATAAAACAAATTACATATGTAAAATATGTAATATGCTGATAACTTGTTCAGGCTTGACTGAAATTCTTACAGAGGGTCTAGTGCTGAGAATCTCTCATAGACAATCTGCCTCTGCCTGTAGTAGAACATCCTCCAGCATCCAGAATTATCCAGAGATCATAACAAATCCATCATGATTCCTTTACATTTTGAAAATATATTTTATCAATCTCTGGGTTAAGATATTTTCTTCTTTTGTCCATGATAAAGGCACTGTGCTGTAGCTCCATTTAAACCATTATTACTCTGCTAGCAGTTCTCCAAATGGTGAAATATTTCCCTGGGGTTTCCAAGGGTTGGGTGGTTTTCCATATTTGTAGATGCACACTGAGCCAAGATGAAAAGAAGCAAATATTGCATTTTTTACTGACTCACTTGTTACTAACCTTGGTTTTATTTCACAAAACTTCTGAATACAGCTTAACCAGAGACCTACAGTTGATGAACTGAGAGACAGAAAGATCCTGATTCGATTCAGTGATTATGTGGAAGTGGCAAAAGCACAGGACTACGACAGGAGAGCAGATAAACCATGGACACGACTGTCAGCAGCAGACAAGGTACTGACAAACCACAAGGTTCTGTTTTCTCCTTGCTTGGTAATGGTACATCACATTCCCAACAGGCTTGAACCTCTGCAACATTTCAGCGCTGTAAACTTTACCATGATTTTTTATGTTGAAATCATACCAATGTCACAAAAAAGCCTATTTAGTACTCGAAAGGCTTCTACCCACCCACCCAAAAAGGTGGATACAGTATTTAGGTTCCAAATCAAAACCATTTCCAGCCAACAGACTATTAACCTTTATTGTCAGGCTGGAAGTTTTGTCCCACACATGCAAAGATTTTCTCTCCTGTTTCCTGTGAATGCTCAAGGAGGCACAGGACCCACATTCTCCTGAGCATGAACTCTCATTTTGTCCCATCACATACCTGCCATGTAGCTGATTCACAGCCCAATTTAAGTGTCACATTTAGATGCTTGAGTAGTAAGAACAGTGTACCGTGATTCCAGCCAGAACATTGGGAAGTTTCAGGAGCAGGATGCTGAGACAGTTACTGGAAAATGGCAAACACAGGACTGTTAACATGGCTTTGTGCTGAGACCTCAAACACTTTGGTTTCCATCCCAGTGTCTCCCCAGTAAGGGACAAATGGGTTTAGAGGACTCATAGAAAAGGAACAGAGCACTTCTACTCCTGCAGCTGCTCTCCCAAGCTCTCTAAAATGGTGAATAAACTGTTCCATAGTAATCGACAGAATAAGGATTTCATATTTTCCTTGAATGTACCTTTACTACAATTAGACTTTTCCTGGTTTTACTGTGTCAATGCTCATGTTTCAATTCACAAGGCAGCTCAAAGAAAGTGACAGTTCTGCTCATACTGGTGGCATGGATCAGGAAGTCAGGGTCAGAGCTGCACCTCTGCATTGGTGACTGAAAAATGGATCAATATCTTGGCAGCTTCTCCTTATCTTTAATAAATTTTAACTGGAATCTTATTAAATGTGAGACAGCCATCTCTGAGGTGTTATTCTGTCAGAATTGCTTCTAGACAGCAGTGACCCTGTCAGCAATCGATAACAAATGAGAAGCATTGTGTCACCAATCCATACAACCCAAATACTCAGCACTTCTACCAGCACAAGAGTGCTCTGCTCTACCCAATACTTGGTTTATCTACCCCAGAAAACTGCTCTGCTCTGCAGGTCTGGGGTTTTGCTCACAAATACAACATTATTTGTTCATGTTTTTCTCTTTTCAATTCCTAGGCAGCAATTCGGAAGGAGCTGAATGAATACAAAAGTAATGAAATGGAGGTTCATGCATCCAGCAAACATTTGACAAGGTCAGTTCTCCAGCTGTTTATCTCTGCTGCCTGCTAAAAGCTCTGACTCCTTGACTCCTGAACCTGTGGATTGCATTCTTATGTGCTGCATGTGGGAGAATATGCAAAGGGAGGTTAATATTAAAAGAAAATTTGAGCCTTTCTGTTCCTGAGGAAAACCCAATTTTCTGATTTTTTGGGGGGCTTTTGTTAGCACATACCAAGAAACCAGCAGACATTCTCTAGAGCATTCCTCAGCTGGCATTCCTTGCACCAGAGATTTAAAGATAGGACAAAAAAAATTTTTTTGACACAGAAAACAATATGATTTTTTAAAGTAGAACAACATAATACACTGTTTAAAGATCTCTGAATTAAATGTACTTGAGTCTGCAGCCTTATCACAAACACTGAAAATTCCCTGCTCAGAAATACAGAACTGCACTGACCATAACAGGCAGTGCCCAGGGGTAATGCCTTTGTTCTAATTGGATTTGTTCTAAAGGATTCAGCCTGGGGATTTCTGTATTCTCTGTCAGTGCAGTTGCTATTGGAAGGAGCCCCAGGTAACTTAATGACACTTAATGACACTCCCTGTCAGGAGGAGGTCAGGAGAGAACAGGGCTGGGCTGGTGTCACTCTCCACGTGATTGGAGTTCCACTGGGAACCTGGTCAGGGCAGTGCCTGCTCCATGTGCCAGGGGCTGTGTTTAAACCCAGACCAAAACATTCATTTCCCTTGTTCAAGAGGAGGAGCAATATGAGAGGCTGATTCCACAGGCACTGGTACTTGCAAAAAGGCATCTCCAAGGGCAGAGCAGCTTCACTGCATTGGTGGAATGAAGGTTGGAAGGGAAGAGGGGTGGCTGCAGTTTCAGTCTGGCAGTGAGCTGTACATTTCCTAATTGGAGCTACCTGGGGAGTCTCATGAGATGATAATGACAGATTTTAAAATTTGTTCAGGATATTAGGAGTAAACAAGCTTCCAATTTACAATTAGTGCTAGGGCATTACATATGATTGGGGCTTTAATTATGGATCTCAGCCAAAAGAACAAGCCTACAGAGCAAGAAGAAAATTTATTCCAGACTCACAAGACTATCAAACATTTCACCAACAGTATCTCTTCATACTTTATGAAGCATTTCACCATTGCTTAACTCTTAAAAAAGATCACTACCAATGACAAACTGTGGCTTTGTTTACTAAAAAAAAAAACCCACATCAACTACATACCTGGGTTTGCAATTGCATTCCCAAAGAAATATAAATGAGGTACACTGGCCCTGAGGTCTGTACCTGCACTGCAGTCCTGGCACAGGGCTGGGAATGTGGAAATTTAAGAGTTGCTAATACTCTTCAGCACTGTCACTGTACCTTTAAACAGAGTGAATCCTTCTGTGGGCTTTTAAAAATTTTGTTAATCTAACATAAAATAATTGAATAAAAAATAATTGAATTCTATTGCAAAATGATTTGAAACATGTCTTTCTTTTCTCCTAGATTTCACAGGCCATAGAAATTTTCTTCTGAGAAGAATCTGTCTTTACTTTTTGATATTGCTGCTGAACACACATCAGGGAACCCTGAAGCCTTTCCCTGAGGTTCAGTGCAGGCTCCCTGGACGTTGATGTGACAGAAGGACTCTGCAGTGAAGCCTCTGCAGCCCTTGGGGACAGACGCCAGCCCCGAACCCTGGAGGCAGAGTCTGGCCTGAGGAGTGGGACAAGCTGCTGAAAAGACTGAAGTGAAGCTGCTTGGAAGAGCCTCCTCCTCTCCTTTCCCAGCTGAGTGGAACTGGTGTGCAGGCTGCCTTGGAAAAGGAGATGCTGTGCATGTACAGGCTTTACCATTCCAAGGCCTCTGACATAAATGGACGTGACACTCTGTCATCCAGTATTACGTTGACAAGACATTTTGAACTTACCACAATTAGTTTGTAAAACACCTAAGTTCATGTTCTAAAAACTAATTTAATGTATTATAATTTCATTCTTTTTTATATACTGTCTAACAGAATCACAGCTGCAAGCATTTTTGATTCCTGTTACTTTTCTTCTTTAATTAAATGACTACTTATTGCAGGAAATGAACATGTTTCCTAAAGCTCTTTTTTTCCCAGGGATAATTGGGAAGAGATTATAATTATTATGCACCAAACCATTTGACTTCTTCATCAACACAGGGTCTGCAAAAGGATGATCTCAACTAAGGTTTTCCATCTGGTGGAAAAGCATAAACTGGTTGTCACTGCACCAACTGAGGCTCTGACCCTCTAAAAATGACAATTTGGTTCATTGTTATTCCAAATTACTAAATTGGACAACCAGAGGCAGAAATGTAACAATGTACTTTGATGTTTGGCAAACAAATGGTTTTAATGCTTTCTTGACAGTAAGAAGAAAAAAGTTACTAAATCCTAATAACAAAGCAAACAGAACTGGTTGAGAAAAATGTAAAGCCAGACATTTTAATAATTCCTGACATGGAGAAGCACCTGAGGATTTACTCAATGCTACTAAAAAATAATTGTGAGAAAAATAACACATTGATAGCTGGGAATAACGTGGTGAGACAGGAAAAAATGGTGAATCCACTCACAAGACTGAAGTGCTGCCATTCTAGGGAGTCACGAAATGTTAAAAACTTGAAAAAGGCATTCTTGGTCCTGTAGCTTCATTGAGATGATCTCCATGAAGTGTGAAAATAATAAAATGCAGTTTGTCAAAGTGCTTGTATAGACTACTACTGAATTGCTGTGAGGTGGGGAAGAGCCCCACACAGGGAGAGCTCTGTCCCAGCTGGGGATGGAACCTCAGGAACTGGAGCTGCCTCTGGACAAACTGCCAGCAGGAATGAAGGAAAGGACACCCAGTGCCACACAAAGTCTGTGTCACTGCAATGGGACAGGGAACCCAGGACTCCTGGGAGAGGTGGTGCCAACATTTAATGTTTGTCTCACTTGACTAGCAGCTGAATGACCCCATCACTTGATCCAAAGATTTGTTTTTTCCTCTTTATTGTAATTTTTTAACTTGCTGGCTTTTCACAGAAATATGTAACATCATAACTAGCCTTTTAACATACATCTATAATTGTATTATTAATAATACAGGAGTAATTAACAAGAAAACAGTGACAGTCCCAGTGCAATATACAAAAAGGCTAAAGAGAAACGAGAGCAAAGTTTCTTCAGCAGAAGAAGCATTTTCAGTTTGAGATGAGCCACTGTTAACTACAAACTAAACTTGGCTAATAACCCACGTACAGTATGTCCTGTTCAGCAGGGATGCACACTTCCACTGCCAATAAATATTATACAAAACACATTAAAATTATGTTGAAAAACATAATAAAATTACAGTAAGGCTAACTTAGAGCAGGTTTTAAATGCCAAACAGTGCCCAGAGCTGTGTCACTGCTGCACCTGAAGCCTGGGGTGGCTCTGAGGGGCCCCATCCTCTCCATGCTCTGATCCTTCCTCTGCTCTGCTCCTGGGGAGGCACAGGCTGTGACAATTCCAGAGGCACTGAGCCCTCAGCACTGCCTGCTCTGGGGGCTGGGGAGGTGCCGTGGATTCCTGCTGGAATTTGGGATCCCACCTCAGAGGGCACATTTGGCTCAGGGGGGCTGTTCTTCCTCCCAGTGGGAAAGGGAAACAGGCCTGCAGTGCACAACTCCTGTCCATAACTAAAAACAAGTTTAGTTTTTAGTTATTATTTTTCCCATGTGGCCTCATTGTAAGAAAGAATTTGGGCCTTGCAGTGCACTTTTAAACCTTGTGCAGTTTAGAGACAAGTCCTGTTTCATTCAGATGACATTCAATCACAGCAGTGGAAAGAAAAGTTTAACATCTCAAGGAGTCCATCTAGTGGAGATCACAGTGAGCACAGGCTCAAAAAACCCCCAAACCACATAAAAACCAGAAGCTCAGAAAACATTTGTACACTGATGTAAATGGGATGAGTGGACCAAATAATTTACTGGAAATTTCAGTGTAATTATTTCCAGAAAGACAAAATAGCTTTGTGGCTTTAAAATTCTTACCCAAAATATTTGCACAGCAGCTTTATCTGACTTCTTACTGATTTAAAGCAAAGTAACAATGATAATGAGTAAAAAACCCAACAGACAGCATCTGTTTTTCTTGACTTGTTTAATAGAACTATTTGCAAGACAGTTCCAACACAAGTGCTGAGAGTTTTCTCTCAGAAAATCCTACTGAAGTCTAACACCACAGACAAACAGGACTGAGATCAAACCAGGTGGTTTGGTCCCTAAATAATTCCTGGCTTGTATTCTGGATCAAAACATTGATTCAAAGTGAAATTCAAAGTGATTTCTCTGCAAGTCAGTTAAGTAACCTATAAAAATTGTTAAAGAATTATTTAGAAGTAGCATTTGCTAAAAATAAAATGGCATATTACAATTTAGCAGACTCAGTGAAATAATTTCAAATCTCACAGGTGAGTGGGTAAGTCTTATCCACACAGATTTTAATATTATTAAGGAAAATATGCTTTCATTACAGTAGTGTCCTTGAGTGTGACAAAAAAAAGAAAAAGTTACCATATTTTCCATTACAAAAATGTTTATATTCACCTTGAATTTCAGGAAAGAATCTGAAAAATCACTTCAGAATTCTGCCTTTGATTGAAACAAGGTCTGCAATCCCCTGCGAACGTTACACAGCTCCTCTTCTTGCTGTACAAAAAAAAATTACATTTATCACTTTTATTACACTGTATTTATCACATGCCTTTGAAAAACAGGCAGATTTTATTCCATGTATTGCAATCCTGGTGCACTGTACATGCTGCTTAGTCTATCAAAGATGAACTTTTCAGCATTAGGACAGAACTAAACGAGTCCATTCACATCTCCCTGTGGCTCCCATCCCTCAGGTAAGGTTTTAAATAAAGTGACATTTGCTTTCTGATTAACTTTTATTTTTGATAGGGGACTAGAAATCAAAATTTTAGTAATTTAGTGTTCAAACTGCAAAAAAAAAAAAAAGACAAGATAAATTTATTTACCATTTCTTTTAGAAATTTCTCTTGGAGTCCTTTTATGTCTTCTTTCAGCAGATGCATCTACAAAAAGACACTGAATGCATCTCCTCTGCTCACAACTGCCACCACATTTTCAAGAAAACAGTGATTTCCCTAAATGTGTCATAACCAAGAGTTGCAGATGCACCTGCCTATGGAAAAGGATGTTTTAAATTTTTTCTTTCTTGGATGAGTAACACCAGCAAACAAAGTCACAGAATTCAGAATAAGTCCTGAGAACTGCACACATCTTGCATGGATGAAATCTAGGCATAAACACTGAATATTGTGAAATTAAGGGACATTTTATGGCAAAAGCTAAAAAAATGATTATGTATCATTAATATAATGCTGAGGATAAAATCTTCAGGGAAAAAAGTTAATACTGGTATCTGTGGGTACAACTGAGGAATTATTACAATAAGCAAAACAGAAGTTCACCATACCTCTGAAGTAAAAATATTTTCTTCACAGTCAACAGAATGGTAGATATTCTTTTCGAATGAAGTTTTAAGAATCTGAATTCTAAAGAAATAAAGGCAGTTTAAACAGCTTTGCTACATAAGAACTTCCTATAATGAGCACAAGTACATCCCACTGTTGGGAGTCTATTTGCATTTAAAGGATGGATAAACATCCCCATCACTGTTACTGCTGGAACAGTCCCTCAGCTAGGTGGAGAAGTTTAACTGGAGAATAATTACATGAACATTTTAATCTCATTTTCTCATCAACCATCTCTCTTTTATGGAAGGAGTTGCAGAGAGAAGTTGTGCTGATCTCCCTCAAGTGAACAGAACAGAAATCTCAGGATTAGAGAACCCTACTGACCTCTGCTGCTCATTTTTCATGTACATACTAAAAGTGTGTGAATGCTTTTTCCAAAAGGTCTGGAAAGAAAAATATTAAGAGATATGAATCAATGGGAACTGATTTTCCAAACTAAAAGTCATTAATTTCTAATATGGACAAAATGAACAACAACAGGCTGAACACAGAAGGGGCAGGAGTTACACAGCCCCCACAGGAGCTGGAAACACCCAGCCCATTAAAGCACTTGAAGTTTATTGTCGGAGGAAAAACACACAGGAGTTCATGCAGTGGGTACATGCAGGAAAATACAGAGTGACCTTGGCATTCCAAGGGCATCCTGACACCCCAAAGGCATTATTTGAAATTTGACCCAACTAGAAGCAAAAAGGTACAAGCTTTGAAAATTAACATTAATAATATTAAATTAAAGATTATATTAATCATCTACAGATTGCAAAGAATTCCCTTTTACCCACATTCAAACAACTAAAATACAAACCGAGAATTCTTTTTCCATGATTTTCAGGGACTGAGAGTCCTTTTCAAACTTCTCAAGCTCCTCAGTGAGAGTAAAATGAAATTTGTCCAGCTGCCTGATCCTACCAAAACAAACCAGGTTACTTGCAGAAGGTATTCACTGCATTTTAAGGATGTTGTAACAGGAATCTGCCATTACTGACCTGCATTCATGGAGCTGGTAACTCATGGTGGCCAAACGCTGATGGGCAGCTCTCAGGGTTTGCTTATTAAAATTGTCCATTTTCCTGGAGCGGTTCTAAGAGGGTGTTTTAACATCAAATTCAGATTATTTGCACTTTAGAAAAAAACCCCAAACTGTAATATTCAGTACTGTAACTGCTTCATATCACAACAAACCCCCTTTAAAAATGTAATGGTGTGGTGCAAGCCAAGTGTCACCCATGTGCTCATGTACTCCCCAAGAGATGCACGGGAAGGGTCTTGCCTCAATTTTCTTGGCAAATTCCTTCTGGAGCTGCTGACAAATGCTGATGGTTGAGCAATCAGGCTTCCAGAATTCTGCATCCAAACCAGACAGGTCATTTGCAGATTGAGTGGAGACACTTTCAGACACTGAAGAGAACAAAAAAATGTCAAATTCAGTATTATAAAGTCCCCAGTCTGAAGTTAGGACAGCTTTTGTTCTAAATAAAGTAATATCATCAATTAGAATCTGGTTCTATTTGCATATCAATTTTCTGACTTTTCCT